CAATCCTAAATAATCCCTTCGCTTCACCAATCCCTGAACTCCACAATTCCCCAATCCAACATAAGATCAGAGTAGTTGTTTCTCAGGAATTGTGTCCCTACAATCATAGTTCTCTTTTATATGTCACACAATATATTTAGTATGTTGTTCAGAACGTGAGTGATGGCATCTTTAAGACAATTAAAAGGAAATAAATTTAAAAAATACATACTAAAATTGAAGGGAACAATCTCTAAAACTTTAAAACAAACTGAATCCAATAACCCATTTTGTACCAAGTTTGTAGCATATTACATAGGAAATAATTACTGTCAAGTGGCTTTAATACAATATTTTGATATGACATCCTAATGATTGAAGAAAATAAGATAACCACAAAGAAATCTTAAAACTGCATTCAGTGAGTTTACTTGTTGCAAATCGAGTACAATATCTTTTTTTTTTTTTTTTTTGAGACAGATCTCACTGTTTGTGCTCCAGGCTAAGTAGTCACTGGCGTCAGCCTGGCTCCACAGCAACCTCCAATCTCCTGCGTTCAGCGATCCTACTGCCTCACTCCCGATAGCTGAGACTACAAGGCATGCACCAACCATGCCCGGCTAATTTTTTTATATAGATTTTTGTGGCAATAATTATTCTCTATTTTTGGTAAGCGGCGTCTCTCAGGCTGGTTTAAACTCCTGACCCTGACAATCCGCCTGCCTCCCCAAGTAAGATTAGCTGAACACGCCCGCAACCAATATCTTAAACAATGTATCTTATAGAAAGACATAAAAATATTAATGTCATTAGAATAAAATTTTAATATAATGATATATAATATAAATAAGAAGTCTGTAAATCCTGAAATCTTACTGAAAAAAAATACAAATCTTCATTTAATTCTATTCACTAATTCTAAACTGAGATTTAGCAACAATGCAATTCAGAGCATTACACCCTAAGCTTCCGATTAGGTTCAACATCATTTCTCAGAATGGAGCTAAGACTCCTGGAGAAAACTAATGAAGAGGAAATGTAAATACATAGACTGTGTAAGCTTTAAAGGATATAACAAGAAGGTAATATAGTTTTGCCTGACGTATATACACACCACCTGCCCACTTTTAAAAGTGGCTGTTATTCATTTCAATTCTACATTAACCACTTAGAGTTAGTGCAAACTCCGAAGGTTACAGGTTCAGTCCCATACGGATCGCCCTGACTTCATATGCCACCCACAAGTCTTGGGTGCCCTAAGCTACCTGAGTTTTGACTGGTTAGATGCGAATTTGTGGCTTCTCACACTCCCCTTAGGTCAATAATTTGCTACGATGACTCACAGAACTAATGAAAGTGCTATACTTAAAATTACCCTTTTGTTATAAGGATACAAGAGACTATCCAGTGAAAGGAATATAGGGCAAATTTGTAAGAATCCCAAGCATGGGTAGATGACAGAGAATGCTACCTTCTTGGAACATCAGTACGTTCCCAACCAGGAAGCTTCCTGAGCCTTGTTGCTCAGAGTTTTTAATATCAATAGTCATTACATAAGCATGATGATTGATTATATCATTGGCCACATGATGAACTCAATCTCCAGCCCCTCTCTTCCTGGGAGGTGGGGAAGAGGGGATGAATTATAGCCCTCTAATCACATGCTTTCAGGTGACAGCCCCTATCCTGAAGCTTGGAGTCACTCATTGGCATAACAGAGGCATTCATATCACTCAGGAAATCTAAGCTCTGCCAGAAACTGGAGAGAAAGACCAGTTCTCTGACACCAAATGTAAGATAGGAAAAATAAATATTTCTTCTTAATGCCCTACTTAATACTTCTGTCGCAAATGACAGAGAAGTGAGATTTGCTAGAATGGCTCACAGAACCCAAGGAAACATTTTACTTATGCTTACTGGTTCACTGTATAATAAAGGAATGTAAAAGGATACCAGATGAACAGCCAGAGATGTATAGGGCAAGATCTGGAAGGTCCCTAGAACAATATTCCTGTCCCTCATGGAGTTAGGCGTGACCCTTCCAACATGTGATTACATTTACCAATCTGGAACTTCCATACCTCTTCATTTTGAGTTTGAATGAGATTTCATTAAGGAATGATTGATTAAATCATTGGATTGGGATCGCTCGACCTTTAGCACCTCTCGCCTTCCCAGAGCTTGGGAGTGGGATGAAAGTCTAGCCTCTATTACAGGATTGCCTCTGCAACCAGCCCTACAGACTTAGTGGCTTTTCAAAAGTCTCCTCATTAGCAAAAACCCAGATGTGGTTGAAAGGCCTTGTTATAACTAATAAAATATAACTCCTCTTACCTTATTATATGGAGCTGTTCAGGAACCAAGGAAGAACCAAATGTTATAACAAAAGATGTTCCTATCACTCTAATCATTTAAGCAATTATAAGGTTTTAGGACCAGACTAGAAACGAGGACAGGACCAAATATATATATTTCTTATTATGAGCCACAATATCAGTTTTATTATTCAGTTTTAAAAGGCCTTTGCAGTAATATCAGATATGTCTCAGATGTACATCACTAAGTGGTCAGTGAGACCTGAGCCTTGTCTAGGCCTTAGTTCGTTTCCAGAGTCAGTGGTGTGCTATCATTGTCAGATCTTTAGTAATGTGAAGATTGATCAGTGAGTTTTAAGTAGTATCAGTCTCTTCTATTCATTATGAGTTCTAAAATGTTAGCAACCATTGATAATTATTACCCATTATTTCATTAGATACAGGCAAAAGGGTGAATTTTAATTCTGTTATCAACTATTAGGTGTACTCGAAATACAATTAATACAGGAAAGGTAGGATAAATGCTTGATATTTATTTCCTTTGTTATATTCAGAGTAATAAATTGGTACCTAGTGATGTTTCTAATGTCTAATGAATTGTTTTTGAGTAGCTTATGAACTCATGGATTTTATACATTTGTTATATTTTAATTCATTGCAATCACGACTCTTTTTCACACTCAAATTTCCCCACCTTAACCAGTGTTAGCCCCTTCCACTTGGCTTCTGTGTCCTTTGACTTGTCTCCATTATCTTGGACAGAGGCGGCTTTACCTACTGTGAAGATAAGGAAACTTAAGTTTCAGCGTTCTTTATTGCATGGGGATGATCATATGATTTTGTAAAATTTACAAAGTAAGCGCTTTTAAAAGGTGGGCAGGTGGGTGCTTAATATAAGCTTCAGGCCCCACAAAACTGCTATCTATCCCTGGTCTTTGTATATCCCTGGTTTAAAGCTACCCACAAGATCTATGCTCATCTTTTACATTTCCTCTTCCAATCTTAGTATTTCCAAGGAGTCTTAGCTCCTTTTCTGAGGGAAATGATGTTTTGAACCCTAAATCTGGAAGCTAGGTGCTTAATGCTACTGAATTGCATTGTTGCTAGGATTTCTCAGTGGTTAGAATTGTGAATACATATTTAAATGAAG